TTTAACTCCAGGCCTGTCCTTAGTTCTCCTAAGAGCCAAGTGGAAGGAGACATTGAACAAACAGGCAATTCTGTAAAGTTAGAAACCCTACAAATCCGATTAAAATCTAATTTTGTTTTACTTTAAAAAAATTTAATATATCAAAAGGCCTGCTTTAGTGACATGCTAGTCCCACCAAAAAATAACCCCAGTAACACCCACCCACCCACCCGTCAGTAACAATGTTCAAGTTGACCAGCCAACTCATACTTCTAACTCGTGTGTGGATTAAGTATGCGAATCCCCTAAACCTAAGCTCAGGGACAGGTGATAGCAAGCAGTGGCATCCCACCGGCTACCTGTCCAACGTCTGCTCCTGCAGAGTGGGCAGGGAAACCCTAAGCAGCAAAATGAGCCCCTTAGATAACCAACTTTCCCGTACTGCATCCCCACCCCCACCTCAAGAGAGCCTCACTTCTAAACCAAGCTCCTTAAACTTGGCACCCAGTGAATAGGATGGTTCTGTCAATTAGAAAGACGTATATCCACACATCCATATATATAACTTTTTTGTTTTTAACATTTAAATATAAAAATACTACTCTGCTTTGTGTTATAAACGGAGGACCAAGAAATGCCAACTTTTTTCTTCCTTTATAGTAGGGCCATCCATCAGGTGACACACTGAGCTGTGTTCACAGAGGGGATAAATTCCATTCCTCCAAGCTAAGGAAGCATGGCACAAGAGACCAACTCCCCTGAAGAAACACCAGCTCTCTACTCTACCAACAGGGGAAATGTCAATCTAAGCCATTGGACCAGCACTTTCAACTATCCTGAAAAAAAAGAAAGTCTTCCTTCACCACAAGTACACCCACTTTGTGACATCTATGCCTACGGGACATGCATTCCTGATGAGATGAAGCAGTGGGTTACCCTTCCCCTCCCCCCTCCCACTCCTTACTAGAAAGCTAGATAGGAAAGAAAAGGTTGGGTGTGTAGAGATTAATAACTCGACCCTTCTATTCTGACCAATAAAAGCAAGATTAACTAGGCAAGAGGAATAAAAAGACCTTGGTATTCCATCCTTTGAGTTACAGTGGGGACAACTGGGAGAGGGAAGAGCTGGGAAGTGGGATGAACTAGGAAAGGCTCGAGATCACTGGAAGTCTAGTCCGCTTAGTTCTTGTACTGGAAGGGCTCGTCGCCGGTTTCGTTGAGGAGACACGTGCGGACGATGGCTTCTGTCACCGCGTAGGGGTCACAATTGGCAGAAGGCCGACGGTCTTCAAAGTAACCCTTCTTCTCCTGGCCGACAGTCCGGGGAATGCGGATGCTGGCGCTGCGGTTGGCAACACCAGCAGAAAAGTCGTTGATGTTGGAGGTTTCGTGGAATCCAGTCAGACGCCGGGCGTTGTCCAGGCCCCCCTTGGGATCGTAGGCACGGATGTGGTACTGGTGCCTCTTGCTCAGTTTGTCAATGGCCTCCTCAATGCACCTAGTGTGAGACAGTAAAAGAAGAGAATTCATTCCTGTCACCAGAAACCCATCTTTCAATGGCAGGAGGAAGCAGGCATAAATCCCAAAAGAAGGCTGTTTCTGTCTTGTGGCCTGTCTCGGTGCTTCCCTCAGGCCAGTTCTTAACATGTAGTGCAAATTATCCACTGGAAGGAAAGATCGCCCCATCACTTCCCTCTTTCCACCAGTAAGGATTAAGTTACCCATTTAGTTATATTTTTACTTAGTTCAAATGCCTGAACCCACTGTCAGCTTTTCTGTTATCACACCTGTAATTCTATTCCTAAAGTATTTCTGTATCACCTCTCCAACGGATACAAAATGACAGGTTTATGACAAACACAGGCAGAGCATGGCATGTACAGTCTGTGAGAAGCCCAAGTATCCAAAGCCCTTCCACTCCACGAGAAGAGTTTCAGAGGAAGGTACTTACTTCAGACCATTCTCCTCCCGCATGGCCTTGGTGCTAAAGTTGGTATGGCAGCCTGCACCATTCCAGTTCCCTGGAATGGGCTTGGGGTCAAAGGTTGCTATCACCCCAAAGTCTTCACACACACGATGCAAGATAAAACGGGCTATCCAAAGATGATCTCCCATTCGGATCCCTTCACAGGGTCCTATTTGGAATTCCCACTAGAGAGAAAAAGACTGATCTTTAAAATAAAGCCAACCAGCTGCTCGGCCCACTCAAGCTCCTAGCTTGCTCTGCTCAACCCTGTGATCTGCCCCTGCTAGCCAAGTCCCCACGTGTCTACCTACCCAAGTCTTCAGAGGGGAGGAAACAGACATTTACCTGGGCAGGCATAACCTCAGCATTTGTCCCTGTGATCTTGACTCCGGCATACAAGCAGGCCCGGTAGTGAGCCTCCACGATATCCCTGCCATAGGCTTTGTCTGCTCCCACACCGCAGTAATAAGGACCTGAAGGAGGGTTGAGACAGAGCAGGGAAGAGTCAGAGAGTCCAGGAAACCCCAAAGCCAAAAACGAGGAGGTCCTAGTCCTGCCTTCAGGTGCAGGCGGGAGAATTTAGGTTATTCTTTGCCACAGCCTCAGTAGAGCCCCTGCTTACTTTGAGTGGCTTTTCATTAACTTTGTGTGTATGTGCATATTTACAGTATGGTCAGAGGGTAACCTGAGAGAGTCATTTCTTGCCTTCTACCGTACAGATCCCAGGATGAGATTCAGGTTGTCAAGCCTGGTGGGTAACCACTGAGCCATCTCACCACTTTCTGTCACTTTAAATTCTAATCAGTCTGGGTGTGAGGGATGCGAGGGCAATCTACTGTTAAATCCTGTTGCCGGTCTCCATTTTCTGATTTCAGGATTGCTCCTACCTCTGGGGAGGGGGATTTCCTGGACAGTAAAAACTTAGAGGAGGAAGTTACCCAGGAGGACTTACCTTGGGGTCCAGGGAAGCCATTGGAAGGCCAACCAAAAGGGTGGCCGTCTGTTCCCATGAGAGTATATTCCTGTTCCATTCCAAACCAGGGATGCTGGTTGCTCACCATGTCCATTATCCGTTTGCAGGTGTGCCTCAAATTGGTCTCTAGAAATAAGGAGTCAGCATGCCATCAGGAATAGGGCCCTCTTACACGGCTTGAATGCCCGTCATAGGATGGACCGACCCAGGCCTAACCAGTGTTCCATTACCAAGGAAAATGGAAGTGATAATTGTTCATTTGCAGGAAATGGCTGATAGACTTTTTATAATTAAAGTCAGCCACGTAGTCTCAAAGGAATGGAATCCGAGCAAGTGTTCACCCTATCTGCATGCTGGCCGCCTTCCACACACCACACGCCAGGCATTACTCCCTCTACTCACAAGACAACTGCTACTAGTTGTCAGATGTATTCCCTGGCTTCTCAGGCACTGAAGGACAGATCTGTCATTCTACTGAGAATGGCTTGTCCATTAGGTTTACATGCCAGCTGAGTTTAAGTGCTAAGTTATACAGTATTGACTGCTACAAAAGTAGATAAGTAGGTAGATAGGTAGACAGACAGACATAGATATGAGCATAAGTGGAAACAATTCCCAAGCTAGAAAAAAATAACCAACTGAGTCTGAGGTGAGTATTAGCAACCTTCATTTTAACAAATGAGAAAATGAAGCCCTGAGAGAGGGTGTTAGGTGACATGCCCAGGTGACAGGGCAGGTGGCAGGGCCAGGAACCAGTTAAGGTGCAATACTCCCAAATGGTCATTCGTTTGATCATCCAATGACTTCGAGACAGACTCTATCTTAAAAAATGAACAGCAGAAAAGACCACTGAGACAGCTCGGTGGCTGCCACAAGCCTGGCAACCCGAGTTCCACTTCCAGAACCCACACAAATAGGTAGGAGAGAACCAATTCTAAAGCTGCCCACTGATGTGCACACATCCAGCATGGCATGGCCTCCCCATGCATGCTCTCCAGGTCTCTCCACATACAGCACACACACACACACACACACACACACACACACACACACACACAAGCATGTAGAAAAGTGGCAGTTCGGGCTGGAGAGATGGCTCAGCGGTTAAGAGCACTGACTGCTCTTCCAGAGGTCCTGAGTTCAAGTCCCAGCAACCACATGGTGGCTCACAACCATCCGTAATGAGATTGGATGCCCTCTTCTGGTGTGTCGGAAGACAGCGACAGTGTACTCATAAATAAAATAAATAAATAAATCTTTAAAAAAAAAAAAAGTGGCAGTTCTAGTATTTAAGTTCAAAAACTACAGAACTTTTAAATCAGCAGGTAGGGGCTGCCACTGGAGACTCCTGTCAGCAAACCAAAAGATTCAACAGTTTATTCAAGCAATAAAAGGAACCATGGAAGGATGAACCACGGATTTAAGCAGGAAAGTTTAATAGACATGGCACCCTCCATTCTTAGGGATCAGTCTTCTCAATTCATTTCAGAATGTCATCTCCCTTTATTACAGACAGCCACACCCATCCTACACATACCTGCAGGCTTCCGGTTATACTTGAAAACTTCACAGAACACCAACTTGTTGGGATCTTTGCGGAAGGGGTCTCGAAACATGGCGACAGGATGGAGATACATGTCGCTGTTGGACCCTTCGGACTGAAAGGTGCTGGAGCCATCGAAGTTCCACTCAGGCAACTCTGGGCATAACAAAGACAGAAAATTAAATTAACTTTAAAGATACACTTGAGCCTGCAGAACCCAGACAGGGGGTGGGGTTGGGATGGGGGTGGGGATCTCCTGGAACTGGAGTCACAGATGGAGCCACCCAGATCTTCTGTGAGAGCAACAAGTGCTCTCAATCACATGAAAGCTCACAACTGTCTGTAACTTCAGTTCCTGGGGTTCTCACAGTCTTTTGACTGTCCACTGGCACTGCACACATGGAGAACACACACACATGTGCAGGCAGAACACCCATACACATACAATTTAAAAAGTTCTCAGTGCACACACAAGAAGATGGTCAGCCTCTTATTCATCCTGACTTTGTCTTTATGAAGAGTGAAGTACATGTGAATGTGTCGTCATCAGGGATAACCTGATGTCACCCATCCCTGTTTCTCCTTATCTGAGATTCCCAAGAGCGCTTCATCCCAAGAAGCACCTGAGCAGCTGACAAGTCCTCTCTGTGGAAGTCGACTGTGCACCATGTATGTACTCTGGTATCACTTCCAGTGTGTCATACACTGACGCATGGGACATAAAACAAAACAACCCACCTCTTTCTCTAGGCCACCATCTTTCTTTCTCCCATCACTCACAGGGCTGACTGATATAGCTCAGGTTATGCTTTTATAGATGAGGAAACAGCTGCTTCCCCACCGCTTGGTCCTTTCCCTACTATCTTAGTGGCCGGTTTGAATCTCCAGTTACCTGAGTTCTCAGAAGGCAGAGACTGAAGAACCTACCCACACTCTGCCAAGTACCAAGTACACAATCTATGCTATTATCTGGTCATCCTCTCAAACAGAAACATCCTTCGAAGAGTAACCCATCCTAAACCAGGTAGATGGTGAGGGTGCCAACCCTCCCCTGAACAGCTATGGCTTACTTGGTCAATACTGAAAAACAAAGGCCAGAACTAAAATAAAGGGAGTCTTAGAAGGTTATGAATTATACAAGTAGTAGCAAAAACAATTTTAAAGGTCGGGAGTAGCTACAACATGAGGGACTAACCTTATTAAATGGTTGAAGTATTAAGGAAGGTTGAGACAGACTGTTATATAAACTAGATAGCATATTCCAGTTATACCAGTCCTTTTAAACTAGGTTCCTGGAGTTGGCCAAGGTTAGCAACTCACCAGCCTCCCATCCCCTACAAATGTGACCTAGTATTTGTCTTCAATGTACCAGCACACGCAAGATTCCCTTAAATAAAGGCTTCCATTGTCGCTATGCCTCCAGACTCTGTGGCAGCTTCCTTACGGGTGACTGACTAAGGTCTGACAAGCCTTGCAAACCAAACAGAAGGAAGGTGGAATCTAAGGCTGCACACATGCTCGCACACATGCCCCGCTCCCGCCCATTTGCCCGAACTCACCTTCTACACACTTGGGCTCACAGTCTAGGGTACGGGTCTTGCAGCGTAGTCCTTCTCCGGTACCATCAACCCAGATATACATGGCTTGGATTTTCTCACCCTGGGGCAGGGACATGTACATTTGCTTGATGCCTTTGTTTAAGTGGGAACTTGCTGAGGTGGCCATGGTGGAAGGTGTTCTGGAGAGAGACAAAAATCACATTTTATTAACATCTACTCCAAAGGGATCCCCTGCAGGAACGGCACGGGGATCAGAACGGAGTGCGCAGTGATCTCGCGCCTTTGGGACACAACACACTTAAAGGTGCTTTATTCACTCTGCTATCAAGAGGTTTAAGGTGTTGTATTAGACAAAGATCATCCCCACGCCCCAGGGGAACTAGTTAAGGGATTTTAATAACTGTTAACCTTGAGAAAGGTTGGCAGGAGAGAACAAAATATCAAGAGGTTCATTAACAGATATCTTATTCCACCCAATAGAGCTACCTTATTGGCACAGAAAGACCTGACTAATTGACTTGCTGAGTCTTCCTTTGTCTTCTATTCTTGCAAAAACCTTAAGGGACACACACCCCATCATAACCCAAGTCCCTACATTTAGACTACTCACTTATTCGAGACAAGGTCTCATTGTGGAGCCCTGGAATTTGCTATGCAGACCAGGCTAGCCTCACAAGCAGAATGCTAGGACTAAAGGTATGTGCAGCCACCATATTTAGATTTAACAATGAAATACTGGGACTAGCTGTCAGATTTTAAAGGCTAACATATTTCTGGGAGAAAAAAAAAAGGCCTGTATTATATGCCACCACTAACATGGTAAAAAGTAAAGCCATACTCCAAGGAGCATACTGCTGACTTTTTTTTTTTTTCCTCGAGACAGGGTTTCCCTGTGTAGCCCTGGCTGTCCTGGAACTCACTCTGTAGACCAGGCTGGCCTCGAACTCAGAAATCTGCCTGCCTCTGCCTCCCAAGTGCTAGGATTAAAGGCAAGTGCCACCACTGCCCGGCTGACTTTTTTTTTTTTTTTTAATTCAGGGAAATCTCTACAAAGCCCTCTCTGTCCTGGTACTTACTCATTATACAGACCAAGCTTTCCTCGAAATCAGAGGATCTACCAGTCTCTGCCTCCTGAGAGCTGGGATTAAAGATGCCCCCCTCCACATCAGGCCTCAACTGCTGACTCCATTACTGTGATACAAAGTCCTTACTCCAGAGGAAGATTTCAATGTGAAAATTACAGAATTTGAAGATTCCACCAGATAATATTTTCTGGTAAGTAGAAAAATCCCACTTCTAATAAAGACCTGGGGCACAAGACTACAAGCCACAGAGAGTGGGGACAAGATCCTCTAAGAATCTGAGGCCACAAACCCAGCCTCAACACAAGAGGAAAGGTCCCCCTCCCTAATCACCCAGGATCGCTGGAAAGGGAACATATTGTTCTTCTCCAATGACTTGGGCAACTTTCTGAAGTACAGTGGCAAAGTTTCTACGGGCAACTGTCCATGTTTGCCCAAGTGAAAACAACTGCTTCTCCCTCCAAAAGCCTCACCCTTGCCCTGGGGAACAGATGAACCTCGACTGTCAAGTCCGATGCAGAACCAAAGCCTCTGCCTACACCACTCAGAGGCCTGGATCGTAATTCTACATAGCTTCAAGTCACACCAGCCAATTCTCTCGGCTTTTCTCTCCCGTGGCTTACACATCCAGCATTAATCAATCGTTAAGTGAATCTGGGTTCCTCCTCTGGCCATCTTCCTTGAGACCAGCTGGGTGCCAGCAGCCTAGTCTACATAGCACCAACTGGTGTTCCTATGATGCCGAGTGGAATGGGTCCTTAAATTCTGAGTCATTTCTGCTGTTACCAAATGCACCGGGGTCCTTCTCCCTGCCTTTTTACTCACCCCAGCCAATGAGAATCAAATGCATTGGGGTTGTACTCTCTAGCCCTCCTCTTTTTAGGGCAGTGTTCCTGCCTCTCCTTGGTCTCGATTTCTCGCTGTTCTAAGCAACGGAGCTTTCTGGGCGAGGGCGATGGAGTGGGGGACCCAGATCGTTCAGACTGGGAGGTAGTAGAGTAAGACTGGTGAGATTTAACCTTAACCCTCGACTTCTCCCCGGTGTTCACAGAGTAGGCAACGAAGCCGAAGGTATTAGAAGGGGACTCTGAGGACCGAGAATCTCCATCTTCTACGTCTTCAATCGAGGATTTCTTTGAGTGTTTGCGGCTGGGGGAGGATCCCCGCTTCCCGCCCCCGGAGGAGTTGGGGCAATCCACTTTGAGAGCAGCCCTTCCCACTAAAATGTCCGGAAAGTCGGCGCCCGGACCCTCGGGCCCGCGTAGATCTCAAGGCCTCTCCCAGGGGGCCATACCCCGGCGAGGACAGAGGCCGGGTGGTGAGAGTGGGGCGACAGCGGGAGGCACAGCGCGGCGCTGCTGCCTCCGCCTGGCCCGGCCTCTCCACTGCGGAGCCCTCCGGCCACTCCCGGGCCCCGGCTCTCCATTGTTCGGTCATACGGTAAAGGTAAAGGCTCAGGAGGACACGGCGTTGGGAGCCGGCGAGTGGTGCCACCAACGTTTACGACCACCAGCCTCAACCAGACCACCCACAGCGTGACGGCGCCATCCAGGAAGAGAGGATCTGCGCCCACCTAAGGCAAGAGCGCACTTCCGCTGGGACCACCGGATCGCCCCCGATCTCGGCGTTAACCCCATACCAGGAGGCGAGCGCCTCCCCGGGTGGCGCCTCCGGCCTCAAGTAAAGAACAGATCAAAACAACCCGCAACCCCGCCCTTCCCGGAGCTTGGCTCACAGCACGCCCTAGGAACGCCAAGCAGAGCCCGCCCGGGCCGCATGCTGCAAGTACGCGGGAGGCAGGAGCGCTGCATCCCGCGCCAAGCAGCGGCAGGCAGACTGGAGCTGGGAAGTAGAGTGCGACGCTACAGCCCGAGCGGCTGGGGCATTCCTGGACCCTCTGTCCTCTTACCAAAACGGTGACCGGCCGGGTGATGGATGGGTGAACGGGCCACGAGAGTGAGGCGAAGAGCGGAGAGGAGATGGGTGTGCTGCTCAGACACTATGCACTACTCCCATTCTCAGCTCTGCAGGGCCGCTGGCTGCTCAGTACTTTTTATTGACAGCTCGTGCCCGCCCCCAAGCGCCCTGACTGGCTGGCTTAGGCCAGGAAACCGGCGTGCAGCCATTGGCCTAGGAGCTATGCGAGAACCGCGGGGTGGGGCGAGCAAGATCCAGAAGAAAGAAAGAGAAAGGGGAGTGGGGGAGGGGAGGCAGCCGCGGCTTGAGGAGGGCCGGGGCGGAAGGTGCTGGAGGCTTTTGCAGCTTCCGTTGTTTAGCGACCTCTGGACCCTCGGACCCAGGCTGAGGCTTTCCTCAGTCATTTGGCCTTGGCCCTTTGCTACCTTAACGATACAGAAATTTTCGAGGAGATCTGTCACTGAAAATCCAGAACCCCATAAGAGAATCTTACCCTTTGTTTGTTGAGCCTCGGGCACGGGTTGGGTTGGGGAGAGCCAGGGAACCCTAGTCGGGCCCGGAGAGAGACATGATTCCCTGAACCTGGAGGACCCTATTTTCTTGGCTTCCTGAGTGGATTTGGGGAAGTGGTCAGACTGTGATTTCACGGTTTAAACACAAGTGCGATGTTTCTATAGAGAGGATTCTGGACATCCATAGTCTGTTAGATGGTGTGTGTGTGTGTGTCCCCACAAGGCTCTCAGCCTTTCAATGCCCGAGTTTTTTGGGTCTGCAAAACAATTCAGGTGGACTTTCAGAGCAGTTCCCTAGGAAAGCGTGGTGATGGTGCATGCCTTTAACCCTAGCACTCAGGAGGCAGAGGATGGTGGATCTATCCTTAGTTCAAGGTCTGTCTGGTCTACAGAGGGAGTTCCAGGACAACCAGGGTTTCACAGAGAAACCTCAACAAACAAAAAAGCAAGTCTCAACAAACAAAAAAGCAAGGGGAAAAAAATCCCTGGCTTTGCTTCCCAAGTTTATTTTAAAGGGGGGGAAGGGGGCTTCTTTTTCCTTTCTTAACTCTGCAGTGATGGCTGAGATAGTGTGTGAATACTGTAATGGGACAAACTAAAAATGTACACAGAATTTACCTGTAAAAAATAGACGTGGCCCGCCGGGCAGTGGGCAGTGGTGGCCTTTAATCCCAGCACTTGGGAGGCAGAGGCAGGCAGATTTCTGAGTTCGAGGCCAGCCTGGTCTACAGAGTGAGTTCCAGGACAGCCACAGCTACACAGAGAAACCCTGTCTCCAAAAACCAAAAAAAAAAAAAAAAAAAAAAATAGACGTGGCTCGTATATTGTTATTAATGCTATGCTTTGAGCACAGTCTGTTTCTAGTACATGAAATCCATCTCATGTCTAGGCTTTATTAAATCTTTCAGGAGCCCTGGTAGTTGAGATGGAAATTTTCTATTAAAATACTAGAAAACCATGCTCTCGGTGCCTTTAGAAGAGGAAGGGATGGAGTTTGTTCTTCTGGTTATGTTTGCACCACAAATATGAAAAAGAAATGTTGCCTGTGACCACACATTCGTAGCTCAGCCTCTCAGGTCAACCTCTGTCAATTCCTCTAAGTGTGTCTAACACTGTGGCTCACAGAAGCTGCATCTACCTCAAATGGGGTTTTGAGTATACTTTGGACTGGAAAGGCACCTTGCAAATTCTGTGTCCTGTTCAGTGCTATGTGAATCGGTTTTTTTGTTTGTTTGTGCTTTGTTTTGTTGGTTTTGGTTTTTTTTTTTTTCCTACGCGGACGTTCAACAGCAGGGCTTGACATCAGGAAAACTCAAGTTCAGATCTGTATCTTACCTCTTGCCACCTTGATTAATAGCCAAATTAATAGCCACACAAACTCTCAGTCTCAGCATTTGTAGCAGGGATCACAGTGGGACCTGGAACCAGAAGGGTGTTAGGAAAACACCGTCATCTCCTAGGTCAATATAATCTGAAGAGATTGGATCATTTCTTTCCATGATTATTCTGTGTGTGTGTGTGTTACATTGTTACATGTTGCATTCATGCACGTAGAGGTCAGAGGTTGACTTTAGGTGCCCTCTATTACTCTGTCACCCTCTTTTTTTTTTTTTTTGAGACAGGATCTTTCATTGAACTTGTAATTTACCAACTTTGCTAGACTGTCTGCCCAGTAAATCCCAGGGATCTTTCTGGATCTGCCTCCACACAGCTTGAATAAGTTACCTGACATTGCAGCTGACTTCTTACATGGTTGCTGGGGATGAACTTGGGGGCCCTTATTCTTTTGAAGAGAAGACCCACAAACCGAGTATGGCACTGCCTCTCCATGCCCACTCCTGAAATGCAGCCGCCTTCTTCCGTAGCAAGCTATGCTTTACTTAATAAGCTTTACCTAAGGAAGTAAGATATAGACCCAGCAATGGGGTCAGCTGTCTTCCTATTTCTTCTAACTTGGCTTAGGTAGTTAGAAAAGGGATCATCAGAAGAGAGAGATGGTGTTCTTATGTTAGAAGATAGTGAATTCCAGATGGCAGCTGCCAGTCATCAACCAGAGCAGGCTTCAGCACTCTTCACCGGGGTCCAAAGTGGGGACAGTGAACACAACAGAAAAGGCGATATTCCAGAAAATGAGTTGTTTTCCTTGAGTTTCCTGCATCTCTGCTATGGGAGTGCCTACCTCTCTTCCTAGATACGCTAACCTTCTTGGCTGCTTATTCTCCTATCTGCCCCCCATCCCCCGTAGTGTCCAGACTAAGTGTTCAATAAGTGCCTATTGACCACACAGAAACATCAGCGGCAGCATCAAGGGAACATTTGGCTCTGTTTCCAAGAATAGAAGCAGATTTGCTTTGATCCTTTCATGTGACCAGGAACATCTCATGTGACCACTGACTTTCAGGGGTAAACAAGCAGCTTTGCCCCCTTGGTCTGCCCCACTTGTGTTTAAACCAACCAAAGCAGGACCTAGACAAGTCCAAGGACTGGACCGGGGAACTTTGAGTGTACCGTGGAAGTGAGGAGTCCCTTAACCGGTTTGCTCTTCGAAAAGCCACCTGTACTCTTTTAAGTTAAAAGAACAGCCAGTTCCTCCACTTTGACTATGTCCTTTATTCTCCCCTAAATTGCCACCGCCTCCATTTTCTGCCCCCTCCATAAAGGCGGCAAGACGATTGAACCTGTGAACTTTCAGTCCAGGCCCACACAGTATCAAGGCTAATGGAGGGTCTGATGGCAAGTGTTTTGAAGTTAAGCGTCTCATTGAACCGAATTCCTCTGTCCCCGAGGATAATATTGCTGGGAAAGAGTTTGGACCAAATTTGCAGAGAGAGCCCAGAACGAAACACGTTCGTTCCGTCAGCAACGCTCCGCCGTCTAAACTGACGGCGGCTCTGTCTTCAGTAGGCTTTCCTACATTCTCACACATTCTTTCTCTGCAGCTCGTAACCTAGTGTCGTACGGGGACAGCTTGCGCGGTTACCTTGCACCCATGATGCAAAGTTTAGGTTGTGGTTCGGCTGAACCCAAACCTTCGACTGTAACGTGCCGCTAGGAGCGGAGCTCGCTGCCTATGTAGCTGATGTTAGTGGGCAATCCACGAAAACTTTAAAGAGACACAGTGGGGACTCAAGTTGCAGTCACCCAAGAAAACAACCCAGAAGGTGACTTTTTTTAGTTCTTTATGAACCCAAATTAGATGTGGCCAAAAGACTAGAGCATGACAGATGTTAAGCCAAACCTCTAACTCCCCCACTCCCCCACCCCCAAAAAAGAAGAAAGATCACTGGAAGTCAGAGGCATTCTTAGACACTATAAAGTATATCTATGGTGTGTGTGGAGGGGAGAGATTTGTATAAAGTCAGCCTTTCAAACTTCACTCTACACAATGAAAGAAGGAAAGACCAGCTTGTCCTTGAATTCAATAACGTAAGACTGGTCACGAGAGGGAGTTTTCTTTATTTACATAGCTTAATCACTTGATACTCTTCAGTTTAAGAGAAGAAATTCAAAGTTGGGATGTTAACTGTCTTTCGCCTGATTTGAATTTGACCGATTCTCAGTGAAGACACTCACAGAGAAGGAGCACCCCAGTTTTCAACCTGTGCATTAGTGGAAGGTTTGGGTCCCTTGAGCTCAATCTCAGAGCTTGCCTCTGCTAGGAAGTCACATGAAGGGTTTGGGAAGAACCAAGTTCATCTGTCACAGAGTGGGAAAGCAGGGCTCCCTGAGACTATGGAAGCCACAATCACAATTCTAGAGTTTGACCTCCATGTCTGTCTTTCCTACTTGTTTCTGGGACCAGCTAGACAATCTACTTCTAAGCTGTATTCCAAGCCTACCCTTTTTTAATTTAATTTAATTTTATTTTTTATTTTCAGAAACAGGATTTTTCTATGTAGCCCTAACTGTCCTAGAACTTGCTCTTGTAGACCAGGCTGGCCTCAAACTCAGATATCTCCCTGCCTCTGCCTCCTGAGTGCTGGGATTAAAGGCGTGTGCCACCACCACCGCCACCACCACTGGGCTTAGAGAGACACTGAAATTTGAGCAAATTTTCACTTACAATAATCTGACACTAACTTAATTTACTGTGTGTGTAAGGAGGTGGCACACATACCGGATACATGTGTGAGAGTCAGGGGACAACTTTGAGGAGTCAGTTTTCTCCTCTCACAAGTTCTGGGACTAAACCTGCCAGGTTTGCACAGTGATTGATGCCTTTACCCACTGAGCCATCTCACTGGCCCATACATTTTGCTTTTATTTCCCAGTGCTCACACAGCTCTGGTTTTGTTAGCTAGGGAGCCGCCAGATGGTTTAGAACCTTATTAAAGCCTACTTGAAACTTTAGGAAAGTTGGCCTGTGGTAGAAAAATTATTTGGGCCGGGCAGTGGTGGTGCACACCTTTAATCCCAGCACTTGAGAGGCAGAGGCAGGCGGATTTCTGAGTTCAAGGCCACCCTGGGCTATACAGAGAAACCCTGTTTCAAAAAAATACGAAAACAAAAAAAAAAGAAAAGAAAAGAAAAAGAAAAATTACTTGGATGGAAACGTGTCCTTTAGTTGGTACTTTTCTCAAAGGAATCCACAGCTGGACCTGCACATAGCCTT